CGGTGGGTGATGGGTGGGGGGTGATAAGTAGGGAAGTTTTGAGTCGAGTCAAAAGTCACCTCGTTCAAGCGCAGGGAGTGCGACGTGATCATTGTCACAACTGTGCGCTCCAACTTGAACGGCAGCATTGGATTCGTGTCCGATACCAGGCGGTGGGTCATGGGCAACGCGTGATGAGGGGAGGGATGATGGGTGGTGGGAGATGGGTGGTGGGTGATGGGGTGGGGGGTTGATGGGTGGTGGGAGTCTGGGAGATGGGTGGTGGGTGATGATGTGGGGGGGTGATGGGCGGGGGGTGATCGGTGGTGAGTCATGGGCGTGCAGGAGTGGGTGGTTGCTGTCCGAGTACGTGTTGTCCCTCTGCACGCTGGGCCAACCTCTCCTCCTTTTCCCCCTCTCCCTTTCCCCCCTCCCTCTTGTTTCCCCCCATCCCCCCTTCCCCCCTCTGTCCCTCCTCCCAGGCTGAACGTGGCAATAACGAGGGCGCGCTACTGCATGTGGGTGGTGGGCGATCGGGAAACACTGCAGCGTGGCGACACCACGTGGGAGCGCCTGCTAGTGGACGCACAGCAGCGCGGGTGCCTGGTGGAGGCACACAGCGATGCAAAGCTGCGCAGAGTGGTGGAGAGGCGTCAGATGGAGCTGGGCGAGGTGGAGCAGCTGCTGCTGCCCAACTCGGGCCTCTGGGACTCGCTCATCTGGGAGGTGAGCCACGGGCGGGGGGGGGGGAGGTGAGATGTGTTATGAGAGTGAGGGAGGCGTTTTGGCAAGGGATTGTGTGAGTCAGGGGAAGAGATACGTGGGGATGTATGTGGGGGAGCAGAACAGGTGAATCTTGGCTCTAAATTGAACCTTGATACTCTAAACCGTTGCTCGTTGTCCTTCCCAACCACCAGGCAACCTTCTCCCTGGAGTTCCAACGCAGCATGAGGGAGCTGCGGTCTCTAGACGTGATCAACGCAGTGAGGCGCCTCATGGGCGGTCACAGGCCGCAGCGATGCACGAGGCCGCGGCACGAGCTCAAGGACCCACGCTACTATGACATCATTCACGTGCAGGCTGTTGGGAGATACCAGCTCATTTGGACCGTTGATGTCTCTCGCACAACCTACAAACAGGTCACTGCTCTGCTCTCTCTCAATCTCTCTTCCTGGTTTTCACCACGCTCTCGAAACCATTTTCTTATCTCTTATGCTTTTCTGTGTGCACCTCACGCGTGAGAACAAACCTTCTCGTCCTCCATATGTGCTCATCACAACACCTGCATGAGTTGCTCTTTCCCCCTTCCTCTCTTCCTTCCATACTTCGTCTGCCCTCCTCTCCTCACCACGGTGCCACGGTGCAGATCATCCGGGTGTGGGATGTGGTGGAGGAGCAGAATGTGCTCAAGTGGCTGCGTCGCCTGGAGGGCGGCCTTGGCACATACTCTGATGAGTCATTGGACCGCTGTGCACGCTGTGACGACCGCCTCGCTCGCAGGGTGCAGCCGCTGCAGTTCCCGAAAGATCCAGGTTTTACATGGCACAGGGCCAAGGCATCGCCACGCGATGTGGCAGCTGCTCCTGATACAGGTACGATTGGTTCGTTCAGGTGGTTACAAAGGTCCAGTGAGCAAGGAAACTGTTCCGTGTCCGCCGCACTGGGTTTTTTCCTTTGGTTCATCATGTCTTCCTTCTGCCCTGCCCTTCCCCCGCCATGTGTCCACTTACTCTCGTCTCTTTCTCACGTGTCCACTCACTTTCTTCTCCGTACTGTATCTTTACCCTCACCTACCCTCTTCCCATCCCCTCTGTTCCCTCCTTTCCTCCCCTCCCTGTTCCTCCCTCCTCGCCCTTCCGCCTCTGCCTTCTACCCACCCCTCCCTCCCACCCTCCCACCCTCCCACCATCCCGCCCACCAGAGAGCGCCCTGGAGCGGGCGCCAGTGGACGAGAGCGTCCTTCTAATGAAGTTCTACCAGCTCTCCCTGGGCTCCGCGCGCCAACTACTCACAGCAGCGCAGGGCGAGCTGCCCTTCGAGGTGAACGAGCAGGAGGCGCTCATCGTGCACTACCCGGGGAGCCTTTTCGTGCTCGGCCGCTCCGGCACCGGCAAGACCACCATCATTACCCACCGCTTGCTGCGCCTGGAGCGGGTGTTTCTGCGAACCATGGGGGAGCGGGGCCGGCTGGGTCCTGCTGTGGGGATTGGGACGGGGAGTGGGAGAGGAAGCGAGGCGGGGGGTGCGCGTGGAGGGGGGGAGGGAGGAGGGAGGAAGGTCGTGGGTGATGGGAAGGAGGGTGGAGAGGAGGGGGGAGAGAGCGGGGAGGGCGGGAGTGTGGGGACGCTGCGGCAGGTGATTGTGACGCTGAGCCCGCGGCTGTGTGCTGCGATTCGGCACCACGTGCATAAAGTCAGACGGTGGGTGGCCTGGGTCAGACGGTGAGTGGCCTGGGTCAGACGGTGAGTGGCCTGGGTCAGACGGTGAGTGGCCTGGGTCAGACGGTGAGTGGCCTGGGTCAGACGGTGAGTGGCCTGGGTCAGACGGTGAGTGGCCTGGGTCAGACGGTGAGTGGCCTGGGTCAGACGGTCCCGCTGTGTGTATTGATGGGGACGGTTTGACTGGGTCGGGATCGTGTGACTGGGTGAAGATGTGTATGGGGATGGGGATGAAAAGGTCTCCACGTTCCACTGTCACCCCTTCCCTTTGTCCCTCTTTCTCCGCACCCCATCCCCCTGCTATCAACTCCTTTTCTCTCCCAAGACTTTGCCACCCTCCCATCTATTCCTCTCCAGACCTCCCGACCCAATCTGATTTTTTTCCTTCCCCCACACCCTTCCCCTTAACGCTCTTGCTCACACTCTCAGTCACACTCTTGCTCACATTTCACTATGCGTGAATCCCTCCATGTGTTGTGTCTCAACCAGAACCATGCTAGAAGCAGACGCCGATCTCCCTGCGAGCACCGCACCTCCCACCACAGCCCAGAAGGAGCAGCAGCAGCAAGGCGAGGCAGGGGAGGTGGAGGAGCTGTTACTCTCAGAAGAAGCAGAGGAGAAACTCATGGGGGATCTGCCCGAGTCTCTAGACGAGGTGCAACCAGATGCCTATCCCCTCGTGCTGACCTTCAAGAAGCTTCTCAGCATGGTCAATGCCACGCTGGCCCGGCCGTTTCAGCAGGATGGGTTGAAGGCTGGTGGGTGGCATGGGAAGGGGACGACAGGTGGTGGGTGGAGGAGAGGGGGTGAGTACAGAGGCGGGGGTGCTGGAGGGGGTGGTGGTGATGGTAGTGACGACGATGAGGGGAGCGATTATTTCTCAGAGGATGAGGATGATGAAGAGGAAGAGGAGGACGACGACGAGGAAGAGGATATTTTTTACCCAGCATACCGTCAGTCACACCGGCACAGGGAGAGGCTGCAAGGCACGAGCGGAGCCAGAAGCAGCAGCAGTGCCCCAGGCGTTAGCCCTGGCAGTGGCAGCGGTAGTGGTGGTGGTGCTGGTGTGCTGTCTCTACCTGAAGAGGTGGATTATGACCGCTTCGAATCCCTCTACTGGCCGCATTTCAACACAACAGTCACGCGCAAGCTAGACGCATCCCTGGTCTATAAAGAGTTCTTCTCTCATATCAAAGGCTCCCTGCACGCCCTCAGATCCCCCCGCGGACGGCTATCAAAGGAAGACTATGTCGCTCTGGCTCAGACCCGCACATCAAGCTTTGATGAGTCGCAGAGGGAGGTCATCTATGGGCTGTACTTGCAGTATGAGAGGATGAAGCGGCAAAGGGGGGATCATGACCTGTGCGATTATGTGTACCATGTGTATAGGGAGCTTGCGAAGGGAGCAACTAGGATATGCACGCCTGCTGCTCTCGCCGCCGCAGCTGCCTCGGCCGGCACTGCTCCTTCTCGTGGCCCCAAATCTGTTGCTTCTCGTGGTGCTGCTGGTGGTGATGACAAGGTTCGCTCTGGCCCGCCGTTCCAGTACGTGTATGTGGACGAGGTGCAGGATCTGACCCAGGCGCAGATCGCCATTCTGCGCTTCCTCTGTGCCAACATCTCTGATGGGTTTGTCTTTGCGGGGGATACGGCGCAGACTATTGCGAGGGGCGTGGACTTCCGGTTTCAGGGCATCCGGAGGTTGTTCTATGAGCTGTTTCTGGGGAGGAAGGTGGATGGGGCGGGGGATGCAGGGAGGGAGTGGGTGGAGGGCGGAGTTGAGTCGGTTGGAGGTGGTGGTGGTGGCAGTGGTGGTACTGGTGCTGGTGGTGTGGGGGAGGGGGAGAATGGGCCAGAGGAGGGGCGGGGGCGGGAGAAGCAAGGGAGGTGGGCAGGGGCAGCAGCAGCGCGAGGCAAGCAGAAGCTATCTGGCAAGGGAAGGCGGATGCTCGAAGAGGTGGGCGGTGGAGCAGCAGCAGAGACAGCACTAACCACCAGTGCAGCACAGGGCTTAGACAGGGAGAGAGGAGGGGAGAGTAGGGGGGAGATGGGAGCACAGTCAGGCGGAGGCGGAGCACAGGAGCGATCCTCCTGCACAGATATGCCGGATCTGTTCTTCCTCTCACAGAACTTCCGAGCACACAACGGCATAGTGCGTCTGGCAGACAGTGTGGTGCGCGTGCTGCTGCACTTTTTCCCCCACGCTGTCGACCGCCTTGCCCCGGAGTTCAGTCTTATCGATGGGGAGGCGCCGGTTTTCCTGGATGCTAAGGCGAGCGATGATGTGGTGACGCAGCTGTTTGGGAAGAAGGGCGCGATTGGTGGCGGAGGGTGCGAGTTTGGAGCAGAGCAGGTAGGGTGCCATAGAGAGAAGGATGGTTGTTGGGAGAGGGAAGGGAGCAGGCCAAGTCGAGATGAATGTTTGGCAGACGGGGGATTGTGGTGTGATGGGAAGAACCTGATTATCTTTTCTCCTACTGTGTGTGCCACTTTTTTCGTGTTACTACTGAGTGTCATCTAGTGTTGTACCCCCTGCTGTCTGTCTTTCCCCCTTGCTTGACCCCTCTTCCTGCCGTGCATCAGGTGATCTTGGTGCGAGATGCAGAGAGCCGCACGGAGCTGGTGAAGCGGATAGGGTCAAAGGGACTAGTACTCAGCGTGCATGAGTGCAAGGGGCTGGAGTTCCAGGTAAGCACATTCTAGGCATGTCATTCGTAGAAACGTAGCTCTCACTGCACCCTGCACCTTCCACATATATGTCAATAACTATCCCCGATTTCGTCTCTCCCTCTCCCCCTTTCCCCCACCCCTCGCCCTCACATCCTATCCCCTCTGCTCTCCCCAGGACGCCCTGGTCTACAATTTCTTCTCGGGATCACCAATGGCGTCGAGCTGGCGGCTGCTGTACCACTACATGCGCGAGCACTCCCTCATCCCCTCCTCTGAGGACGCCTCCAGCCGCTGGCAGTGCCCCTCCTTCGACCCCAAGCGGTACGTTGCTATTAGATTTATCAGAAGCTGTTTCAATGCTGCTTTCGTTGCCCTGGCTGACCATAACAGCAAACTGGCGCACCTGTTCTTTTCACTCTTCCCCGACTCTTCCACTTAGATCCACTGTCTTTCCTCGTTAGCTTCTCCCCCTTACTCCCATCATTACCCCACAGCACCCTCCACTCCCCCTTGCTTTCCTCTTTCGTCTTTCCTCTTTCCTCTTTCGTCTGTCGTCTTTCGTCTTTCCTCTTTCCTCTTTCGTCTTTCGTCTTTCTGCTCCTCTCCCTCGCACAATCTCCTCTACAGCTAGTTGGAGCAGATCTCGTTGTGCTAACACGAGTCGTTCTGCACCCACACCCACCTCACATCATGTCTCCATTCCCCTTTCCCTTTCCTCATCCCCACTCAGCCACAACCTCCTGTGCAGCGAGCTGAAGCAGCTGTACGTGGTGCTAACCCGCGCGCGGCAGCGGCTGTGGATATACGAGGAGGATGAGGGCGCGAGGCGGCCTGCCATGGACCTGTGGGGGGCGATGGGCGTGGTGGCCGTGAAAGCACTCACGGCTGACCTCCTCACGTCCATGCATACTGAATCGTCGCCCGAGGGGTGGCACAAGAGGGGCACGGAGGTGCGTTTCAAAAGATTGGGGGCTCTGGGCACAGGAAGATTCTGGATAAAATTCCAGTTCTTGTTTTTTACTTTCCCCCTTCACTTCAACATCTCCCCTCTCCCATCTCCCCTCACCCCTCTCGTATCTCCCGCCTCCCCTCTCCCCTCCCCTCTCCCCTCCCCTCTCCCCTCCCCTCTCCCCTCCCCTCTCCCCTCCCCTCTCCCCTCCCCCCTCTCCTCTCTCTCGTTTCCCACCTCCCTTCTCCCCTCTCTCCTCTGTCCCTGCATCTTTTTTGCCCTTCTCTTCTTTCGCAGCTATTCAACGCAGCTCAGTTCGAGGCAGCAGTTCTCAGTTTCGAGCGAGCAGGGGACGAGCACAGTGCAGCAGTGGCACGGGCAGCGCTGCTGCAGCAGACAGCCAAGAGGCTACAGGGCACTGACCCTAAGAAAGCCAGCAAGACGTTTCAGGAGGCCGCTGAGGCGTTTCTAAAGGTGGAAAAGCCGAGAGATGCTGCCCGCTGCTTCATCAGTGCGGGCAAGATGAAGCAAGCAGGTGAGGAGCGGTGGAGTGGGGTGGGTGAGAGGGGAGGAGGGGCTTGTGAAAGAGGGAGGAGGGAGGGGTGACGAAAGGAAGGGGCATGTGCTGATGAATGGGATGAGTGAAATGTCTGGAGTGGAGCTGTGGTGGAAGGTTTGTGGACGGGAAGATGTGCCTGTATTATTCTTGCGTTCTTAGTGGTGGCTGTTTGTGCGTGCTTTGTTAGTGGTGCTCGTTCCGCGTACCTATATACAGATCGGATCCCCCGCCCCCCGCTCCCTTCCACCCACACTTCCACGCCTGCCCTTTTTCGTGTACCCCCCCGCTCTTCTCTTCTTCCTCCTATCCTTCCGCACAGTCAGAGACTCTTGTTGTTTTAACTCCCTACGCACCACCTCCCCACGCCCACCCCACACCTCCCCTGCGGCCGTAACCAGGTGACGTGTATCGTGACAGGTGTCACCCACCCATGTGGGTGAAAGCAGGGGAGTGTTATGAGCTGGCATCACTCCCAGAGGAAGCAGCCAAGTGCTTTGCACAGGCGTGGGAGGTGGAGAGGGCGCTGCTGGTGTGCTCTCAGAACCGGCTATACAATCTCGGGGTGACGCTGCTGCAAGTGTGGCAGGGGCAGGTGGGAGAGGGAATGGGAGCAGCCAAGGGACAGCAGCAGCAGGAGGAAGGGGAGGAGGAGGAGAAGTGGAAGCAGAGGGATAGGCTAGTCATTAGAAAAAACTCAGAGTTTTTGCAACAGGCTGCGATGTACTATTACAGAAAGAAGATGAAGGGGGAGATGATGCGGTTCGTGCTGCAGTTCCCCTCGCCAGCAAAGAAGCGGCAGTTCTTAGAAAGGCGAGATTTCTTTGATGATCTACTCCAGATTGAGGTTTCTGAGGGGAATTTCCAGCGGGCAGCTGAAATGATGCTGAAGAAAGGGGATATGGTTGGGGCAGCGAGAATGTTTCTCGGGCAGAAGGAGTGGGGGCGGGCGTTTGAGTGTGCGATGGGGGCCGGTCGTGTGGCGAGTATGTGGGCGAGTGGGAACAAGGGTTGGCCGTTGAATGCCCCAGAGCGAAAGGCAGAGAAGCAGGAGAAGCAGGAGAAGCAAGTGGGAAAGCCGGAGAAGGGGAAAGAGGGGGTGAAGGTGGAGAAGGGGAAGGATGAGGATAAGAAGGCGAAAGCGAAAGCAGGAAAGGGCGAGGCCGTTCCCAGTGTGTGGGAGGTGAGGGCTGAGGCGGAGGAGAGTAAGGAGGAGGAGAAAGGCAAGGTAGACACAGCAGAGGAAGAACGGAAGGAGGAGAAAGTAGAAGAGAACTTGGATGGCAAGGATATGGATGCCCTAGAGATAGCTGTTGCTGTGTGGGCGAGGGAGAGGAAGGCGAGAGAGCAGAAGGAGGAGATGAGAGAGATCCGAGAGGAGAGTAGGGTTGGAGTGGAGATGCAAGGACTAGGTGGGGAAGCTAGGAGGGGGGAAGGGGAGGTGGATGAGAGGGAGGGGCTAGAGGCACTTACCCTGTTGTGGCTGCGGGGTTTTCATTCTCAGGGAGGTCCAAAAGGGCGTGAGGGAAAGGAGGAAGTGCTGAGGAAAGAGATAGAGAAATGGTGGCAGCTGCTTACTCGCTGCCACTCAAACGAACTCCTGGGCATGGTTGGGGAGATGGGGAAAAGTGCTCTGAAAAATGCGTCTGCATCTGTGTCGACTCAAGGGGCAGGGAAAGGTGAGGTGGTAGCAGAGGAAGGGAAGGAAGGGGAGAGGGAGGAGGAGGGGGAGGAGCTGGAGCTGGGTGTAAGGAGCCTTGCAGCTGAAGTGCTGGTGAGCTGGCAGGGTCTCCAGTTGAGCATCCAACGGGCTAAAGCTGCTCCTACTCATCACGCCAGCTCCTCCCTCTCTCGCTCAACTGCCGCACCCTCCGCCGCACTACTACCTTCTCCCGTCAAGCCTGCTGCGAACCTTCCCTCTCATCCATCGCCTGTAGCAGCAGCACCAGCTGTGCCTCTCCGACCCGGATGGCAGAAGGAAGGGGCAACCCAGGGAACTCCACAGCAGTTGCAGCAGCAGGAGCAGGGGCAGAAGGAAAAGCAGGAGGAGTTGCCATTCGAGGCGGATTTGAGGGAGGTGAAGGTGTGGTGGGGGCGGTGGAGTGAGAGAGTTGTAGCCATGGTATCAGCACTGCAGCGACTGCAGAGGCGCAGAGAGCTGCCCTCAGATGCGCCCTGGCTAGAAGCCACCTTCCACCTGCTCTCCGCCTCCTCCCCTGCCTCCTCCTCCTCCGCTTCCCATGCTCTCGCCTCCTCCTCTGCCCAGTCCTATTTGGTTGGTCTGTCGTCCGCTTATTGGCTGAACACTGTGCGACCAGCAGTGAACCACCTACCGAATCAGGGCACACGGGGGGAAATAGCAAGGGAACCTGCAGCCAGGGGAGGTGCTATCTACTGGGCGAGGCAGGCGAGTGAAATGGTGAACGAGTGTGCGGCTGTGATGCAGCAAGCTCTGAGAACTTTGGAGGAAGGGGCGGTTAGCAAGAGGGAGCCAGTGTGGGGGACGAGTGTGGGCGTGGTTGGGAGCGTGCCGCAACAGGGGGGTGTGGTGAGAGATCGAGCGTGGCTGGAGAAGGAGAAGGGGGAGGCGGAGGATCGGAAGCGAGCAAAAGAGTTGAATGTGCAGCTGGAGCTTTTGGTGGAAGTTTATTCGTTGCTTCAGTTTGCGGTAGACCTGTGTGGAGGCAGGAAGCAAGAGCAGAAGCAGCAGCAGGAAGGGGGGCAGAGCAACGAGGTGCAAGGTGCAGGGGGAGCAGTCGGAGAGGGGGGGATAGAACAGTTGGCAGGGGAAGTGGAGCTTTGGAAGGAGCAGCAGAAGGAGGCGACATTGCAGCTGGTCTCGTTGCTCTTCCCTGTGTCGAGCCCTCTCCCTCGCTCCGTGGCATTTGTCGTGGCGCGGTGGAGGGAGGACGAGAGAGCGCGGACCTTGATGCGCCAGCGGGCTTGCACATGGGTGCAGAAATGCGTGGTGGAAGGGTGGAAGGAGGCGCAGCGACAGCAGGAGGAGCAACAGCACTATGATGCGAGCACCGCACACAGAACAGCAGGGAGGCAGCTGGGACTCACAGACCCACTGGTGTCTCCAGGGCTGTTCTCCCAGCTCATGCAAGTGCTGCCGTATCTGGGACACATGTGGATGCGCAGGGAGTGCCATGGCCTGAATGCGTTGATGCCAGCAACGAGAATGGATGTGTGTGCTCGATTGTTTCAGGTGGCGCAGTGGGAGCTGGCAGGGCAGTCGTTTACACTCCAGCACCCCACTCTGCTCTCTGGAACCGTGGCTCTTAACTACTGGGGCTTTGCTCTCTACCATTTGTACGATGTGAGTGCAAAACCTACCTTTCTGCAGCCATTGTTATAATGCTCGGTGCTTGATGTGTCAATCGCTTGCTGTCTGCATTGCATTGCACTATCTCATCCAGTTGTGCTCTTCTCTCACTTTTCTCCTGGACTGCCTGTGTGCGGTTGCTTTGTTTGCAGTGGTGCTACTGGGATGTGCCCAACGGCTTCGTTTCCTTCAACGTGTTCCTCAATCTCGCTGAAAGAGCAGTCGTCCACATGTGCGCAGCCATCACCAATCTCAATAACCTTGTCGTTCCCACCTCCCTCGCCTCTCTCCATCTCGAAGGCGAGCATTACTCCAATCTCTGCACCCACATGCTCATGTGGCCCTTCAACCGAAATCCATACAGTGTGGCTCGAATTCACGACACCATCCTCTTCCCTCTCCTCCACATCCTCGTCCGCTTCTTTGTGTTCGAGCCCGAAACCCTTCTCTGGTGGCTCAACAAAAGCGGCACGCCTCCTGCTGAACATGGTTCCATCTTCCTGCGCCTCCTCGTCCTTCTCGCCTTCTCTATCTCCAACGCTGACTACCACCACGGTCCCAAGTTCTTCTCCTACCTTATCAACCACCTCCTGATCCTCTTCTCGCCTGTCGATCGGCCGCCCAATCCGCTTGTCTCCACGCTTCCTCTGAAACTGCAACTCGATCTGAAGGACATGTTCAGGCGGAACTACCCTGCGCCCACTTTCAACCACTTCTATCGGACCCTGGCCCGCCACATGTGGGCCATGCGCGATCCTTGGGTGGTGCTTCGGCGGAAGGGGGCTCGGATCATTCCAAGTCATGTATGGAAGGCTGAGTTGCTGCATGTGGATGTGGAGTTCACAACACAGGCTGCTGCTGCAGCTGATGCCGCAAATGGTGGTGCTGTGAACAACCACCCTGTGTTCTCTCTGCAGAAGCTGACAGGGTACCGGGTTCCACTGCTGGGTGGTGACAGTGGGAATGCTTCTGCGGCTGCTGCTGCTGCGGAAGAAGGAGCTGCTGGTGAGCCCAAGGCGGGAGCTGTGTCAAAGTCTGAAGAGGCAAAGGCAGCAGTGGCTCAAAGCGGAGAGGTTTTGGAGCGTGGGGAGGATTGGGGTGGTGATGAGGAAGGGAAAGCAAGCACGGATGGTGGTGATGGTGGTGAGAAGGGTGCGGGAGAAGGGGATGGCGAGGAGAAGAAGGGCGAGGGAGATGGTGGTGAGATGAGTGAGGGCGCGAAGGAGGTAGAGCAGGAGTTGAAGAATGCGCAGCTTCAGAACGACGAGAGGGAGGAGGTGGACGGGGTCAAGATAGCCCTGAGGATCACACAGCAGCTGCGGAACTGCCTGCAGCAGGTAGGACAAGTTCAGGCTGTGCAAGCTGCATGCTGCTAGCTCTGTTTTTATTCCACTCTGGAGTTCCCAGTGCTTCCCCTGAGCCTGGATGAAGATATAAGAGAGCTGTTGCCACGACAGGCCATGGCAGTAAAACCAAGATGTGCTTTATTCTGTGGGAGCTCCAACATGCATCTTAAACAAGCTTTCATCATCGCCGCAACTGCCTATTTTTCTTGTTCTAACCTTGGATTGCTCCACAGGCTCGAGAGCGGCTGCAGCAGGAGTTATCGCCGCTCCAGCAGTGCAGCAGGGAGGCGCGGCGCGTGTTGACA